GCCTCTTTTCAAGACCGAAAAAATATTTTGTATTATGCTCCCCTTCTTCAGCCCATTCAATTTTACTTCTGATCAGGTACCCACGAGTTTTTTGCTTCAACAAGTCATTTAGAGACTGTTTTGCAATTTCCAGTTGTTGCATATTGTCATCGGATTGATGACTGGCATACTTGCTTTCCAGCGAAGATATTGATAGTTCAAGATCTTTCATCTTTTTTCCATACAGTTTTTTTCTCCTACTTGCATAGGCTATTGATTCTCCACGAATTATTAATTTAATTGTATCCCACATAACATTTGGATCAACGTATTCCATGCAGTGGTCCATTATGGTATTCTGGATTACTTGTCTAATTTTGGTAACATATTTCTCATCATTTAACAAGGAAGTGTTCAGCTTCCAGTATCCGGTACCTCTGGGTACAGGATTAATATCAATCCATAGAGATGCTATAGAGTGATCAGATAAAACACAAGGTATAATATCGGTTTTGCACTGATATTGCAACAAATGCTGAGATAATAGCACCATATCAATTCGGGTGGCAGTTTTTGATTGTTTATGGAAATGGGAGTATACTTTCTTGCTTGGATTTAATACTCTAAAGGAGTCTTGCAAATTTAGTTCTTCCATAATATTATGCAACATCTGTCCAGATTTTTTATTTCCGTGGTTTATTCGGCCGCCCACTTTATCAATTTTACTGTCAAGGACTACATTGAAGTCACCTCCAACTATGAATTGCTGGCTCTGTTGGCTCTCAAGAGTCTGAAAGAGTTCCAAAAAACACCTGGGATCATCATTATTTTGTCCATAAATATTTGCTAGAGTAAGTCTTTCAACACCGATGGTTATGTCTGCCACCAGAAATCTTCCTTGAGGATCATTATGTTGCGTGTGTAGTGAGTATGAAATATTGTTTCCAAATAAAATACATAATGCTCTTGAATTGGTCGAGTAATTACAAAAAATTCCAGAACCACCCCATACTCTCAGCCATTGTTTCTCGTCATTCTTTTTGCTATGTGTTTCTTGTAGAAAGACAAGGTTAAACCCCTTTTTCTTCAATAACAAAAATATTTCTCGCCTTTTTGAGTATTCTCGTATACCTCCTGTATTTAAAGAGGCTATTTTCAATTCAATATCAGCCATTTAGAGTATTTCCACATCTGCATTCTAGGGATTCATCAGTATATGAAACGCTGCCACGAGGACAATGCATTATATAGCTACCACAGCCCACACTATGGCATTTATCAAAGCCATTCTCCACAGGTAAGCTGTTCGAGGCAGAGCAATCACACTCCAAAAATAAATTTTCACAAGTGGTACATCTAGCAACATCATTTTCCACTATTTCACCAACACCATTACAGCATGGTGTGAGTGGCATAGCTGTGTCACAGACATTGCATTTAACATTTCTATTTTTTAATTGCTGTTCACTTACAGCAAAGTATCCGTTTTCTGTGCAGCATTGTTTAATAACTTCTTTGAATCTTTTTTTACATACAAAGCAGCAAATACATCCGAGTCATTATACAAAGTAGTTTAAATTTAATCGGAAACATTAAACGGTAATTAACAATGTGTTTTTTGTTTTTATTTTTGAAATTTTTTTGTGGGGCTCCGTGAATATTTATCAACCCTTCAAGTGCTCCGTAACACCAAAAGTTTGAGAACCCCTGAATTCTAGTCTACTGTACAAAGTAGGTTTAGGAACCACGTAATGAACGGTACCGGCACTCTGGTTGTATGGGTAAACTTACAACATCCAGCTGTGGAATGAGTACCGTACTTTCCAACCATCACAAACCGAAGTCATACGACGAAAACGGCGAGAGCGCCAAATCAGAATTCAAAAAAGGCGACCAACGCAGCGTCAACGCAAAAAGAATTCTCTTCCAACAACGCACTGCTTTGACGCAAATGCGTTAACGCAATAAACAAACACGGTTTGATAGTGCGTCGATGCAATAGTGTGAACATATGTGAACGGGCCTTTAGACAGTTACGGAACATCAAATTTCAACTGTAACCTTCAAGCAAATTAAGCTTTGTCTAGGACTCCCAAGAAATCAAATTTTGACTCGAAAATCACAAAAAATCAAAAACTAGGAATTTTGCAAATTTTCAAAAGAGCAGAGTCCAACGTGACCATGAATCGCGGTATTTCAAAGCATTTCTATGTATTTTATCGTATTTTATTATTATATGTATTCATAGACACATGTCTAGACATGCCTGGCGGAAGTTAAAATATATTTTGTTTGCGTTTCACTGTACGTGTCGGTTGAAATCTGCTTTCGTGAATTTTATTTCAAAATATACAGCACGTTCTACCTATGAACTTACTTGATATTTAGCGTCATCGATTATTTTGAAATAAAAAGTATAAAAAATAATGGGATATCTGGTGTACTTTGAGAATGCTCTAGACGTGTGTTTGAAAATTGTGACAAATGACATGCATTGAAATACCGAAATTCATAGACATAAAACACGTTGGATTTTTTCCAAATTTACAAGATGTATGCTTTATCACGCGATTTGTAACTCCATGAGTGCAGAGTTGCAGACCCTCAATGGCGATAAAATGACTCAAAACTTCTCAATAAATCTTAAAAACATTAATTTTACCGTCCGTCTAATAGTTTGTTTTTTTGTACTTTTCGGCCCGGCATTGTCTACCCAACATGTGACACTCTGGCTACCCAACCTGGGTCAGGAGGTGGGCATAGATTTTGAACCCAATATATGTAAAAAAAAAACTTTTCAAATACTAAGTCATCGCGCTACAAAGGAGGAGAATTAGCATTGCTGCATGGTTTAACTGTAGTCGTGAGAACTCAGGACAATCAATTTAAACATCTGCATAATGCTGTAAAAAAGAGAAATAGATTTCTGATTATTTTTTTGCATTGCTATTTCGTTGGCAATGGTTAGAATGTGACGTAAATCTGATGCCAGACATATGCAAGTTCAAAACGGCAAACAATTGCAGCGCTCGTTTCCTGTCTAATGGTTTATTGTCGTGTAGTGTTCGATTAAAATTTTTGATCATAATTATCACGTGATAGGCTGTAATGAATTGGAATAAAGCCAAAATAGAGTTTATGTCGATTACTCAATGTTGAATCAGGCAATGGTCGAGAGTTAGAAATATCAGTGATTATTGTTGTGTTATGCAACGTGGCCTTTACCTTGCCGCCCTTCCCTACAGCGGGATGAAAATAAAATATATTTTGTTGCGTTTCAATGTAACAATCGTGTAATCAACGTAATACGACGCTTGTAGCCACTCGTACCGTTTGCTCCGATCAAAGCCAGATAAAAGCGGCCACTGCAATACCTCGACAGATTAATCTTCGCTGTAGAAGTTATCATCTCGGTTGTTTCATTTGGACAAAAGATTCATGAAAAGTCCGTTTTTCAGTAAATCGTTCAATAATAGAGCAAAATGGCGTTTGAAAAAGCTCAAAAATTTGTGTCTCACTGCAAATGCCGTAAAATTACATTTAAAAAAAGTTTAAAATATTGGTCATTACTGCGGCCTCACCAGGGTACCAATGAACTTCTATGTTGATCGTGCGAATTTGGGTGGAAAATCATCGGTAAATGGTAATTAACATCATATATTACTAATGTTATGCTTAGTAAAATGAATGGTTTTTGAGTTTTATAGAGGTTTTGACTCATTTTATCACCATTTTTACCACAGCCCTGGTAACAACTTATTGATAACAGGCCGCTTAGAACGAGAGAAGTGCGCGAGGCATCATGGACTGTGAGAAAAAAGCTTTGCTCACTCGCTGATATTCATTGTTCAATAAATACCGTCACTTTGGGTGTGGCAGTTCATATTTGTCAGGAGATGGACAATTTAGGGAATATTCTACAGTGTGTCCATAAAGTCAAATTTGGAAATATTCATAATTTGGCTTCATAATATCAACCTTATTTTTGTAGAATTTTATACGTTATATTCTGTTTTAACCTGTCTAAGACTGTGGGTTTTTATGTGTAGTAAGCGTTTTCCAAAACGAACTATGCCCCATTTAATAAAATAATCTAATATATGACAAACGCAGGAAATGATCGAGGATGCAAATATTTTGTATGATTTACTGTTATAGGCAGGGCTGCCATAACGTTCTCATTTTGAAAGTCTTCGTCTTAAAGAATATTTTTATCCCTATTTCTGAGAAATGTCTTTATTTTTGACATGTTTCCTCATTTAGGTTTTAATTTAGGATTAGAGGTTCTTATATCGGCACATAGATTGTTTCATTCGGATGATTGATTTTCTAAAAATGATATTAGAACCTCATTAATTTCTACGCGCATCCATGATGTAATAGCAGCGAATTAATTTCCACAATTACAAAACAATAGATACTGGCGAAGATCAGTTTGTGTAACTTGAGTCAAAATACTGTAGTGAATCAGAGATTTGCAGTTGACGAGTAGACTTGTTTAAAATAACATAGATTTGATATGCGTAGCAGTAGCCTACTTATTGAGTTTTCTGCCGTTCTGAACGACCCTCTCCTACTCAAGCATTTCGCATGTGTTAATTCCGACTTGATAACTTAATAACATAGTCGAGAATCAGTGATTCAGACAAAACACGATTATACGGCACGGTAAATTATACTTCAAATTTAGTTATCTTATTATTATGTTTCCCAGATATCCGTTTCTTTGGGTTCATATTGATGGAAGCGCTGGTTATAGGTTTTCCTTTACATCGGCCCGGTCGATCCAATTCGCGAGCATTTGGAGGCTTATTTGTCAGGCGAATGTTTTTCACCACCCGGTCTTGAATTCTGTGAAACATTTTCCGGATTGAAAGCGTGAGGTAACGCCCCATAAAAATATTCTGAATCCATACTCTGGCTCACTATAACACTACTTCCAGCGCACCAAGTCCACTAGGAATGGATCAAATTTTTTCTTTTCTTATCAGTTAAGATACTAAACAAATGAATATGGGTAACATAGGTGCAGTAATATCGCTATGTCTATTGTGCTTGATACCTCCTGATCCAGTGAAAGCAGACAGCCAACACATGATATGCAAGACTGTTGAAAGTCTGCCTCATTCATGTCCACTCGGCCCATCTGGTGAACGCGGTTTACCCGGGGAGAAAGGTGAGAAGGGCGATTCTGGTATCGTGAACTTCGACAAAATCAACTCAACAATACAAGAAATGGTTCAAGCAGGTAAAACAATAGGAAATATTCAAGTGTCGATATTGCTCGACTGCCTGGTCTGTCACTGGTAGACTTTTGTTACACTTTTGTAAGACTTTCACAACTTTGCTCCCAACATTGTTTAATAAAGCAAGCAGTTATTGATTCATTAGAATTTTAATATGTTGTTTGAAACACTCGAAATCTTTCTAATTTGCCATTGTCCACCCAGAATAAGACTGTACGGTCATAGAATTCATTCGAACCAATATTTACGGTCTATAGATTGGATCAATCCGTGTTATAGACTCATATATATGCATTTGAAATCCATGCATATAGTACTCTTATATCTGTTCAGGTATGGACAAAATGGCGAACATCCTGGAGAAAAGTATATTAGAGAAACTAAGAAATCAAACAGGTGAGAGCAAAAACTCACATTTGCCAGTATTTCCAAATGTTTTACTTCGACCTATTTTTTTTTGTTGTCTAGGAGGTGGATTGAGTCCCTAAGTATCTTCCTTCGCATTTCCTAGATACCACTCATTCTAGCTTTTAATTGGACGTGTTTGCGTTGTTTTATGAACGTTTTATCCATTCAGCGCCCTGCTCGGTACCGTTTGAAAATTCTATAAACTTGAAAGCTATTAATAGAATATCTTCCGCTGATGCGCATTGACTACATGAGAAGCTACGATGTTTTTATTGAAGGAGAGAGATCTTCCTGGTACAGCACTGCCTGCATAATTTATACTGATCGACGCAATACTTAAAACAGTTCGTGTCATTACAATCTTGAAAACTAGCTCCAACTCCAACAAGCATTTTGTTTATTTATTTTGAATGACTAATTGACGCCTAACTTGTATAAAAAATTGCGTACATGATCATTTCAACACTTTCTTGGGCGAACAGAAATATAAATGTAATTTCATCTTTACAGAAAATGAGTCGACCACAGAAAATACTACTCCAGTAATTGCGACCACTCAAGGGCTCTCAACTAAAGGTATAATAATTTGAATTAATACTTGGCGTTTGATAATGAGGGGTAAAAAGATTACGTGCGGCCAATGGACTGTATGAACATTATAGAATACGATGAAGATATTCACTCAGAACAAGGCGCTGTACAAACGGCTATTGATAGGTAAGGAGCTATTATTTCTAAAATACCCGTGGGATTTTCTCACATTGAATGGGGAACTCTGCAGGCAACCACTGATACTATTGAATAATCGTGGCATCCACTGGCAATCGTGTCGGTTGCCTACGAAATTGTGTCATTGATTTTGAAAATTTTAGTTATCTCATATTCACTACGTAATAAGCTGAATTTTTTCAAATCCAATCGGTCTGTATTATCCAGCTCATATTTCAATGCTATATTTCTTCAGCTTGAATAACTCACCCGTAATTAGCTCAGAGATGCGTCTGATTTATCTCTTAGTGAGCTTGCGTGACCTTGCGTGGAGGAAATGAGATGAAGTAAGATCAAAACCACTAAGGGGCTCACAATCATAAATTTTCGCGTTTTTGTTTATTTTGAATGACTAATTGACGCCTAACTTAAAAACTGCGTACATAATCATTTCAACACTTGCTTGGGCGAACAAAAATTTAAATGTAATTTCATATTCACAGAAACTGAGACGACCACAGAAAATACGACTCCAGTAATTGCGACCACTCAAGGTCTCCCAACTAAAGGTATAATAATTTGAATTAATACTTGGCGTTTGGTGATGAGGGGTGGGGTATAAAGATTACGTGCAACCCTACCGTATGAATAATATAAAAGCATGATATAAGACCTTCACTCAGAACAAGGCTCTTTATAAACGTCTACAGATGGACAATTAACGAATATTACTAAAATGCCCGGGGGATATTTACACATTGATTGCAAGTAGGAAACTGTGCAGGCACTACTATACCGTTGATTATTCGTAGCATTCACTGGCTTGCGTGTCGGTTGTCCATGAACTCGCGTCGTTAAGACAAGAAGTTTTTTTTAAAACTCCAGGTATCTAAAATTCAGTACGTTATAGCTTTTTCCTGATCGAATTAAACTCAATTTTTTCAAGTCCAATAGGTCTGTATTATCCAGCGCATATTTCACTGCTGTATTTTTTTAGCTTGAATTGCTCAGTGGTTGCACGTAATTTGCTTAGAGAAACGTTTACTTTATTTTTGAGTGAGTTTGCGTGACCTTGTTTGAAGCAAATAGGATGACGTATGATGAAAACTACTGAGATGCTCACAATTAAATTATTGTAAAGTAAACTATAAATGACAATTATTTTGAATTAAATAAATGGAATTTGTCAATGAAAGAATGAAAATAAATAGTCTTTTTTAGTATTTGTGTTCTAAATATCTGACTTCAAACTTTTTTGGTCTCTACTGTCATTTATCTTTCAGAATGTGGCTTTATATATAAATTGAAATGTTTCCGAGCGATCGTATATGACACGCGGAACGTCTCATTAAGCGTCGCTGAATCTATTTGCAAAAACAAACTTGCTAACATTTATGACATCACACACTACCAACTGCTCCGAGATTATTTACGACCAATGATTCCTGATTGGTGGCCAAGGATTGGGATTCGTACGGGAATGACTTACAAGGTAGATCGAGTCTGAATCATGTTGCTTATATGGCCATTCATGAAATTATTGTAAAATGTGGCCGATATTGTTACCGCATTACAATGTGCTATCACATTTTATCTTGAGGTTAAACCGTCATGGCTTTAGCACAGGAGATAAATTTCGGTTTAAATCGGGTCATTTATAACACTAATTACTGATATGAAATTTGACTTTCTTACCGGATTTAAAAAAAATTGTTTGCCAGCGTTCTCCAGTTTCTATCCAAAAATCAACCACAAACTCTCGCCTCCTCTATATTCTCAAACTGCTATTTTTTATATTTCTCAAAATCTATTTTTTATGTTATCAGAACGGTCAGAAATATTCAACGACGGGCCAACCTATATCTATGCCACCCGAGGTTTGGTATCCTGGTACTCCCCATATCGATGCATCGTACACAACTGTTGGTGTTGGTGTCAGTAGAGACCCGGAATACGCATATCAAGGGGTTTATAATGTTCCTCCTCTCTTAGAATCTCACGGAGCCGTATGTGAAAATGAATTATAACTTTGAATGATTGATAAACAAAAAATGTAGAATTACTTGAGTTTAAAATTGTTATTCACATTTGTAATTTAACTTCAATTTACCATTTACACAGTTTAACTTACTTGAACAAGCACAAGTAGTAAATAGATCTTGCGTGAGGTATATAACTCTCACATGGGATAGCGACGGGGTGTAGAATAACTACTAACGTGTTTGAAACGTTTAATTTACTGATACTTTTAGTTAATGAGTGCTCATCTTTAAAACGACATGATGATAGAGTTTGCGTGAAATCCTGAGACTTTCTATGTTGTGTCACTGTGAACAAGGCTCTGTATATGCGGTCACTTACACCTGGAAAACCAAAAATCGAATATTTTTGGCTTCTAGACCGAGCAGGGCTCGAATCGAGATACATAGAACACCATTGGCCAGGGATACATAGGTTAGATTATACTGTTTTGCTTTAGTATATTATCTTTTTTTTTCTTTATATCTTTTTTAACGATCGGAAACTTTTCAGAATGTCATATCTTTACTAAAATCACTTTGTTTGTCATAAAAGTACTTTTGTTGAGGACAACCGCTTTTACTGACTGAAATATTTCAATTGTGTAGACTGAGTTTTCAATTGTGTTTTATATTTTGACACATTTTTCAATTTTTATTAAATTAAAGTTTCATTATGAGCTGGAGGAATATAAGAAATTTAAGTTTTTCAAAAAGTTATCAAAACTGAAAGCAATTTACAACATTGTCTTCGCTATACAATCAACCAGTTTTATTAATGACGCCCTTTTTTACATTTTGTTTTTCTTGTGTGTGAATTATAGGAATTGATATTTTTTATTGTATTTGTTCTGGCATTTTATATGTTTAAATTTTACTGGATCACGCCATTAAATGGAATATTTTCCAAAAAAATGATTCCCGCTTATTTGATAGTTAAAAAAGCTTTCAAACAATTTAAAATATAAGTGTGACCTGGACAATATAAGAAAATGTTGAAAATTCATCAGAATTGAAAAAAATTACAGCTTTATCTTTTCTTCAAAACAAGCAAATTTTATATTTTGTATTCCCTCCCCCCTCTCCCGGGCTCTCAAAGCATGGCAAAAAATCAAATCATTTGTTTCGTTTTTTAATTTTCTTGGTGTGTGAATTATTGAGATATACAAATTTTTCATTAACCTCGCTCTTGTATTTTATTTGTTGGATGAATTTCTCAGAATTTTTCGGCAAAATTTACTTTCAGTAGGAGTTCAATTTATTTTTCACCAACTGAACTGAAAAAATGAAATTCATCAAAAATATTGTGAACTTTCAATGATGAATCTTATTTGCTACTTTGTGTGAATAAAATTGTCTTGTAAAGCGTTATCGATGTATTTTTAAAATGATGTAGACTATATTTATTCCCCAGAAAACTAAGAAATTGAAATTTGAAAACAATTCTGTCGAAATAAAAATAATTTCTAGGAAAAATCGTCGAGCATGGCGCATTGTAGCATAGAAAGGTGGGATATGATTTATATATTTTATTCCGTGAAGAAATAAGCTGATAAAACGGCTTAATCATATGACGTACCATGGCCTCTCATCCAATGTCAATGTTGTTTCTGGGATTAGTTGGACAGTTATTCGTTTTATATGCATGGATTGGTACTCCTGTAGAATGTGAATGGCGGACACCGAAACGTATTATGTGTAGCAGGTTAGGGTAAGGCCTAATCTGGTCCGCCATCTTAGTTCGCATACTACAGGAGTACTCATGTATTCGATATAATAGAATAGGAAATAAAATCCCTAAAAATCAATTTTCAACTACGAACTCCAAGCAAATCAAATTTTGTCTGGACTCCCAAAGATTCAATTTTTGACTCGGAATCACAAAAAATTAAAAACTAGGTATTTGCAAATTTTCAAAAGGGCAAAATCCAACGTTACTATGAATCGCGGTATTTCAATGCATTTCTATGTATTTTATCGTATTACATTATTATATGTATTCATAGACAAATGTCTATTTTGAAATAAAAATACGAAGAAAAACCGTGATGTCTGGTATACTTTGCGAAATGTTTAGACATGTGTTCAAAAATGCCGACAAATAACATAGAAATGCATTGAAATATCGAAATTCCTGGACATAAAACACGTTGACTTTTTCCACTTCGAAAATTTGCAAGATGTTCGCTTTATCGCTTGATTTGTAATCCCATGTGGGCGGGATTGCAGACTTTCAATGACGATAAAATGACTCAAAACTTTTCAATAAATCTCAAAAACATTAATTTAACCGTCTTTCTAATAGTTTTTTTTTCGGCTCGGCATTGTTTACCCACCCAATTTGTGACACCTTGGGTATGGAATTTGAACCCAATATATGAAAAAAACGCTTTAACACCGCACGAGGAATGTTGCCTTACTTGTAAGAATTACAGTTATTTTCTACCTTTTTAACGTAAAATTACGGCTTTATGGGGCAGATTAGTTTCATCCAGGGCGCGATTCTACAATATGAAATTGGTCTGGTCCAAACTGGCTTTGACATAAAAATCAATGAGCGCGCATTGGTGCTTATGCTGGCAAAAAGAGTAACAAAAAAATGCTTTTTTTTCTGTTCTAAGATAAGCTCATACTCAATATACCAAAATAATGATAATTTGTTGCACATTCCACCAAAAACTACAAATTTCAATTAGTTGGAATGATATTTTAGTGCAGTGATATTTAACCGAATATACAATATACCCAAGTGTATACTAAGTCAGATCCCAGGTATATAAATAACTATTCCAGGGCGCGATTCTACAATATGAAATTGGTCTGGTCCAAACTGGCTTTGACATAAAAATCAATGAGCGCGCATTGGTGCTTATGCTGGCAAAAAGAGTAACAAAAAAATGCATTTTTTTCTGTTCTAAGATAAGCTCATACTCAATATACCTAAATATTGATAATTTGTTGCACGTTCCATCAAAAACTACAAATTTCAATTAGTTGATATTTTAGTGCAGGGATATTTAATCGTTCATACTATATACCCAAGTGTATATATACTAAGTCAGATCCCAGGTATATAAATAACTATTCCGAACGCGAAAAAAATATTTATTGGTAGAGAGATAAACAGAAATCTGAGGGTACCTTTGTTATTTGCGAGATACATACGAAGAAAATAGATTGAATAGCACTGTTTAGTGTATTAGATTGGGATCATTCGTACAAAGCCCTCGAAACCAATGCAAAAATGCGAGATATGATAAAAATCCCATTGCAAATCAACAACCCTCGAAATTGTGACCCAGCGATCAAGAGGGTCGTATTTTTAAACTTTGTCATGGCCGCAATTTTGCGTAGATACATCCCTGCAAATAATTCAGAGTTTTCCCCAAATTTATGAAATATTACTTATTTGGAATGATCTGTCATTACATTGTGTTGCACCTCGTCATATAAATTACTATTAACAAGTGTGTTATATTTAACCTTCTTATGAGAGTTCTCTTTATAGTCACAGATAAATGCAGACCTAATTTCATAAGATTCTACTCGCCGTTTTAGAATATAACAGAGTACAAATATTATTATTACAAGAAACTAACCCAATGACGTTTTTTTCATTCGTAGCTCCCGCTTGTTGTTCATCCATGATTTTCTTTTCTAATTCGTTCGTTCTTACTCTTTTTTTCACAACTACCGCTGGCATCCTATTTTCCGCTCTGACAAAATTTATTTTCTGATCCTGCCGCTGATCCTGTTTCATTCACTCTCGCTCGTTTGTTTCGCCTTGGTCCTGTTTTCTTTTTCGTTTTTCCCATTCGCTGCATCCCATCCTTTTGCTTTTCTCCACTCTGATAAACCGCTCTGATCTTTTCACAACTACCACCGCTGGCTGGGCACCACCAAACCCACCCTGCCGCTGTTCCTATTTCATTATTCTTCCGCCTTGATGTGATTTTCTTCTTGGTTCTTTTTCCGTTTTTCCCACATTCCGCTGCATCCATCCATTCCCCTTTTGCTTTTTTCGTTCGTTATTAATTTCTCCACTCTCGCTCGATATCTTCTTTGGTCCTGCCGCTGATCACCTGGTAAGTTGGATGTTTTCTCGTATAGTCTATTTCATTCACTCTCGCTCGATAATCTTATTTGGTCCTGCCGCTGATCTCCAAGTAAGAAGTTGAATGTATTCTCGTATAGCCAGCCCTGTTTCATTCACTCTCGCTCGTTTTCTTCTGGCCTTGATGTGATTTTCTCCTTGGTTTTTTTTCCGTTTTCCCACATCCCGCTGCATCCATACATACATCCTTTTGCTTTTTTCGTTCGTTATTTATTTTCTCCACTCTCGCTCGATATCTTTCTTTGGTCATGCCGCTGCTTTTTTAGATCCTTATTATTTTCTCCACTCTCGGTAGTAAAGTTGGGCCCTATTTCATTCACTCTCGCTCGTTTTGTTCTTTTTCCGTTTTTCAATCCTTTTGCTTTTTTCGTTCGTTATTATTTTCTCCACTCTCGCTCGATATCTTCTTTGGTCCTGCCCCTGATCTCCTAGTAAGTTGGATGTTTTTTGGTATAGCCAGCCACCAACATGGGATCTTGCGCCTTACCGCCTGATCTGTTTTCACTGGGGGGCTTTTTTGTTGGTCCTGCCGTAAGTAAGTAAGTTTTCTGGTATAGCCATCGCTCTCTTCTTTAATTTTTTGCTCTCTCCATCTTTTCTTGCTGCCGCTGTCCCATTTTTGCCATGCTCACTTTTCTTTCTTTGGGCCTTTTTCATTTTTGTGTTCTCTCGCTCTTCTTTATTTTTTGCCCATCCTTTTATTGCTGCCGCTGACCCATTTTCCTGCTCACTTCTTTCTCTCTCTGCTCGCTGCTGCTCTGGCCTAATAATGCAGGCTGATTTACTGCCTCGCTCTCTCTTCTTGGCCGCCCCCTGTGGGGGTTCGAGGCCACCCCCATTCTTATCGTGTTATTTTAACTTTCGCTCGTTATTGCTAGCCACGCTGGTTTCGCTATCATTTGTCTCCTAGCTCCATTTTCATTCGGCCCTCGAAGACACTCTCGCTCGTTATCGTTAGCCTCGCTGGTTTCACTCTCATTTGTCTCCTCGCTCCATTTTTACTCTGCCCTGATCGCCTGGCCTTCCCCTTCCCCGTGCTATGTATCTTTCTATTCATTCTGACACGCGTCATATTTCCCCGGATTCAGATGAAATATCAACTAATCAATGTGAAGGCTATGGTCAAACAGTCTTCTATTCTATTATAAATGCATTCATTCCGGCTCGTTTATGGGATTTTCTGCCCCATTTTCATGGGCTCCTTAGCACGTGATTATTTTGACTAAGGGACAATCCATAGTATGGATTAGTAGTAATAGTAGCACCAACGACTAACATACCATGATGCGCAACTAAAGCCTTGACCAATGAGGAGTGTCTGACGCGATACGCTCCATTGCGGCAACTTGATTCGTTAACGCCCACTCGAGTTCCCAGCGTTTTGCTGCAGTTTCACCATATCTGTTGGTCGCATCGGACTCAAGGGCTGTAGTTATTATATAATCAGTGGCTATTATGGCTAATAAAGGTAAGTCTACCATTTATATACGTTAGATATATACTATCAGTATGTTTCCATTAGCGGGTGACTATTCAGGGAGCTACCATGTGCTTATATATGACAGACAGAGCTGCCGCGTTTAAATCCCTGAACCAGATCTTGAATTTGATGATACATTCAGACATTACCTGTCTGCCTGTACCGTACTAGACTCATTCATGTTAGAGGATCATAAACTGACAGTATTCATAGATCTTGACGAGGCAATGGAAGAAAAGTTTATCTTGAATGAGCAAAAGTAAGACAGCTATTGAAAAGAGAGCTACAGACAGACAGAGGGCAAAAAGTGTTAGGAGAGATTTAATGCAGGGCCCCCAACAGATCATGCATTCAACTTACCATCAATATATTTTCTGGATTTCATTCTATAGATAGAGACATACTTAAATGTGATACTTTCATGACAATAGTTTTGCTAATAAACAACCTATTCTGAGATTTATAAAAAATAACTTATGTTTTATTTCAAGGTGCTCAACGTGTCAAAAGTTATTTTCCAGCGTGGCATCTTTGGCTCAACATATTCACAAACAAGATAAGATTTACATAATTATAGACTCCTACATAAATTCCATGATTATCAATACAACTTCCACAACTCAAGATAAACATGAAGTGCAAATTTTTTTTTAACCACCATGGGATAAATCTGTCAAAATAATTTGAACTTATTTTTATTTTTAGGCAGAGATATTAGTGTGGGGAGAATTGTAGTGGAAG